CCTAAGTTCAATAATTATTTCACAATACCAATTTTTAGGCACGTTACCACGTAAGTTATGACATGGATGCATTTAAGTACAGTTATGAAAAAAATACTGCTGTTTTTGAAAATGTTAACTAGATATCATTAAAATAGAAAGTTTACAGTTTACGTACATAATCATAACTTGAAGATCTGTTTTGAAATAGTGACGATAACTGTACCTAAAAAGTATATAAATTTTAACATTGTGACATACCACCTTAATACATCCAATAAAATATAGACAGAATCATTCTGTCTCCGGCTTCTATATAACATGTAGCTTCTCCTTTTAAAAATTTTAAAGTGTTTGTTTGTCTTTGTGTATTGTATTGTCATGTCCAAATTTACATGTATGACATTCTGCTCACGTTGGATAGGCCACAACTGACGAAATGCCCCTGAAGATGATCTATTGATCGAAAGTACTTGGGCAAGATTTAATTAATTACTGTGTTCGATAGTTGCCTTGTATACCATCAAAGTTTAAAAAAATAATTATATTAAAAACATATGTGTACAACTAGAGGAACATGCTGACGGCCAAGAATTTAGAGAACTTTTCTCAAAAGTCAAGTATCTAGCTAGAGAATTCAAACAGCAAACACAGATCATCAAAGATAATAGTGGAAATATCATAACAAACCCAGACGGTATCGCAGAGGTGTGGAAACTATATTGCGCAATACTATTCTCTAACAACGACCTAGACAATAATACAGAGAAAAGAATTTATGAAAAAGAACCTCAAATATTGAAATCAGAAATTGAGGCGGAAATTAAAAAGCTAAAATCCAGAAAAGCAGAAGGAGAAGATGGAATATTAGCTGAAACGGTCAAAGAAATGGGAGAATTAGGGACGGAAATAATGCTTCGAATTACTGCACAGTAGCATTGATATCACACGCGAGCAAAATACTTCTAACCATCATCAATGAAAGACTAAAATCATTTCTCTTACCATAAATTCCCCAAGAACAATGCGAATTCGTCAAAGGTAGGGGAACAAGGGAACATATTCTTAATATTTGTCAAATTGAAAAATCTAGAGAGTTTAACATAGAAACATATTTATGCTTTGTTGACAAGTCCAAAGATTCCATTCCAATATTCCAGAACATCTAATCTATTTATTACAAAAAAAACTATATGTAAATAATACTGCTAATGTAAGAGTTAATGATGTTCTTTCGAAAAACTTCAAATTAAAATCTGGAGTTCGACAGGGATACATAATATACCTTATTCTATAGTGAACATATTATGCGTCAAGTTTTTGAGGAATGACAAGATGGGGCAACGATAAGAGGAAGAAAAATCAAAAACCTACGTTATGCTGATGACACTGTTATATTGGCGTCATCACCAGAAGAACTGGAATAAATTATGAATAGGCTAGACACGGTGAGTACGGAATATGGTTTGAAAATAAATATGCAGGAAACCAAAGTGATGATTATCGATAGAATCAGAAACAACCAAGCAGAGATAAGAAACATGGCAGGTTACGAAGTGGTCAGGCAATTTAATTACTTGGGCTCGGTTATTACTAACAGTGGACGGTGCGAAGACGAGATCCGTCGACGCATGACCATGGCCAGATCGGCAAAAGCCAAACTCACAAAAATTTGGAAGAACACTGACATCACAAAAAACACAAAATTACGCCTTTTTCGAGCATTGATATTTCCTATCGCCACCTATGCTTCAGAAACTTGGACAATAAAAAAAGCCGATTCAAAGCGTATACTGGCATTTGAAATGTAGGTCTACCGTAGAATGTTGCGCATACCATGGACCGCCATCGCACAAATAACTCAATTCTAGCAGCACTTAACATAAAAACTAGATTCATCACAACATCAACCAAAATATACTGAGATATTTTGGACATATAACTAGAAAAAGAGAGCGCAAAAAAAGATCTCCAGTACGATGGTCAGACCAAATAAAGGAGATGACAGGAGATTACCCTGGTTACTCATTCTCCTAAGCAAAACAACACGCACAGGAGAGAGATAATTGGACATAGTTAAACAAATTACATGACGCCACTACATCCTTACAAAGGAGAAAATATTGAGGAGTAGATTAAAGAGTAGAGTAGAGTAAATTTTTATTTGCATACATTTTTAAACATAAGTGAGCAAATAACGTCACATTATTACTTACAGATTAAAAAAATATATATTGGCATCACACATTTAAAATATATTAACATTACAAATTAAATATGCTGATCAAGGAGAAGGATAGGCCAGGTACTCCGCCACAGTATAGGGCTTAATGTCAACTAGGTGTTGAAAAACCTTTCTTTTAAAAGCTCTATAGTGTGTTTCCTGTTTAATGTCAGATGGTAGACTATTATAAAATTTAACACACGCATACAAAGGAATCCCTCTGTTATAGACAATCTATGAAGTGGCAAATTCAAATTAAGGCTTCTTGCATTATATTCATGATTGGGAAGCAGGTGATAAAACAAAGAAAAACTTTTAAAAAGGAACATAATACATTCAAATATATAGATGGCTGAGATAGTGAGAATATTGAGTGACTGGAATCGGCCTCTACAGGATTCTCCCGCCTTTAGTCCTAAGATCACTTGGACTATAAAGACAGTTGAACTATCTACTGCAGCACCCCAGAAGATTACTTCATATCGCATAACAGAATAAAAGTTTGCATAATATACTGATAGTAAAATCCCCTGGTCTAGATAGCTCTTTAACACTCTTAATGAGTAGCAGGCTGTATTCAGTTTTTTTGTTGTATTTTGTATTTGTTCCCCCCAATTCAGATTCTGGTCAATATGAATACCAAGAAATTTAACTGATCTAGCAGGTTCCGTGTTTTCTGATAGAAAATTAATTGTATCTGGAAACTGCTCTCGTGACTGGCTGGTTCTAAAGTAGACAAAAACTGTCTTATTAGTATTAAGCAACAACCGATTTCCACTAAACCACTGTTCAGCCTTGCTTAGAATTTGCTCTGCCACTGTGAGGAGTGTTTCTAAAGTTTTTTCCCAGAAAAGCCTATTTGAGTCATCAGCGAAATTTACAAGGTTTGAGGAACTACTAACTACCGCATTTGGAAGGTCGTTTATGTAGACCAAAAAGAGAAAAGGCCCCAGAACACTCCCCTGTGGTATACCTAATTTTAAATTGATCGGTTCAGAGTAAACCTTACATCCCCTTTTCTCCAGGCATACCTTTTGCGACCTATCTGTGAGAAATGATTTTATCCATTTTAATGCTGGTCCCAGTATTCCATAAAGATGTAATTTTTGTAATAAAAGAACATGATGTAGGCTATCAAAAGCCTTAGATAGGTCCAAAAAAGCACCTAGTGTTTTCATCTTTGCCTCCAGTTTTTCTAAAATTTTTGATATAAAATCATAGGTAGCTGTCACAACAGATCTCCCTGCAAGAAAACCATGCTGAAAACTACTAAATAAGTTGTTTGTAGTAAAAAAGTTTTGTAGTCTGAAATATATTGCTTTTTCAAATATTTTTGAGAATGATGGAAGAAGGCTTATTGGTCTATAGTTCTCCATCTTAGTAACATCACCTTTTTTATGAAGTGGCTTGACAATTGCCAGTTTTAAATTTTGAGGAAATTTACCTTGCCTGAAAGAAGCATTAACTATAAAAGAAAGAATCTCTGATTAAACATATTTAATTAAGTTGGTTGATATTTCATCATAACCAGAGCTATGGTTGTTTTTTAAGTTATTTATTATGCGACTTATTTCTTTCTCTGAAACTGGAGTTAAAAACATGCAATGATTAGCTTGTTCGATATTAATTTGAAAAATTTTTACATGCTTTATTTTCTTTACAGCTTCTGGCGCTGCATTTGCCATAAATTGATTTATTTCGTTAGAAAGCACCTGAGAGTCACCCTCCATACCTAAATTACCTTGATTTCTGGAATTACCCTTAATCTCTTTTACCAATTGCCAAGCCATTTTAGTTTTATTTTAGCTATTTTCAATTCGTTCTTTATAACAATTTTTCCGAGATTGATTGAGTAAAGAATTGTATTTGCGTTTTTCTGTCCTATAAATATCTTTATGCTCAACATTATTGGTAGACAGTGTAAACAAAACATCAAGCCTAGATTTACAACGTTTTATATCATCATTTTTAAACTTTTGTTTTGTGTGTGTTTTTTTTTATTTGCTGTATTTATCTCTTTGAGTGGAAAACATTATATAAAAATTTTCTGAACTATACTTATCTAGGCTAGCCGGTCCGGAGGAGGACTAGGAGGACTAGCTGATCCGTCGAACTTCGTACTGCCTTAAAATTAAATAAATAATGTGTCAAATCTCAAACGTCAAATAATTTTTCGAGTCTGTTAAGTAACAGAAATCTCTGGGTAATGAAATGAATCCAGTCGAGGTGTCAATAGCGTGTCAATAGAGTGTCAATTTCCAATATCTAACAACTGCTTCGTAAACATAATTGCACTTTGTTCTTAATGCAAATTGAGTGATGTTAAGCATGCGTTTAGTTCTTCCGCAGCGGTTAATTGGGGAATAATTATTAAATAAGGGACAGTCTGACAATAGAATCATAGCTCCTCCAAAAATGTTTTTAATTATCAAGAATATCGTTTAAAGTTCTGTCCAGTGTCTAAATGACCAGAATTGTGGGCCAAGATACATTCGCCCCAAACGATTACTTTGCATAACTGTAAAATCTTCGTCATTGCACACCTTTTTGGCAATAATGCAATCTGGTTGGATAGTGCAATATTTCATTGATTTGTATGTTTAATGATAATTTCAAGTCAAAATGTGCAGTTCATCCGCCTTCTAATAAAGTTGTTGATTTGAATCATTTTTGAAATAGGTCATCAAACTTATTTACATTCAATTTTGACTTTTCCAGCACCTAAATATCTGCTGGATTGTGTTATGTATAATATATACATAAAAGCATATAAGTATAAACAATATATTTGTTTCAGGGAAGACATGTATGCACAGGATAGTATAGACCTCCTGCAAAATTCTGGAATTCAGTTTAAGAAACATGAGGATGAAGGTATTGAACCTCTTGAATTTGCGGAATTGCTTATGTCATCTGGTATTGTCCTGGTGGAAAATATAAAATGGCTGTCCTTCCATTCTGGTTACGATTTTGGCTACCTGATAAAACTGTTAACGGACAACAACTTACCTCAAGACGAAACAGAATTCTTCGATTTGTTAAAATTATATTTTCCTACCATATATGATGTAAAGGTAAGCTGAATTAATATTTTTGGGCATTTTAGTTTCTTAAATTAGTCGTTTATTTAACTTTAAACTTATTTCGATAGCTAGTTAGCTTGTATCACTTTTTGCTATAAGCTCACTTTATCTTTTAGTACCTTATGAAATCGTGCAAAAATCTTAAAGGAGGATTACAAGAAGTGGCAGAACAACTAGAACTTGAAAGGATTGGACCACAACATCAAGCAGGTTCGGATTCTCTTCTGACAGGAATGGCATTTTTCAAGATGAAAGAGGTAATGCTTTCAAATTTTGCTTTTATAATCAACTTTGGAATGTCTCTTGTTGTCATCATAGTACAGGTTTTAAAATAATGTTTTTCATGTTTTTAGTAGATAGATATATCTATCAACAGTTATCAACTAAATATGCTTAGACACAACAGTTACAATTATAGTAATTATGACAATAAACAAAACATGTTAAACAAAAAAAATATAGATTTAACACTTTCGCTACTATGTGTACCAAAACGGTACACACTTGAGTTTTATGAATAGACTATGTGTCCATATATGGTTACAAGTTTTGGCTGGGTTCTAACACATGTGTGCACACTTTCCATTGAAATATATACAGTGTAGGTAAAATTTTATGGTCGGTATGGTAAAACTTAACAGGATATCTAACACAGATATAAAATCATATTTTCAGCGAATAGACAAAGATAACAATCATATTCCCCCTTGGTCTCCCCTCCATAAATCTTCTTGACGCCCATTTTGCCTGTTAGTGAGACGATTAGTTCCGATCAGAGATATTTTACATATTCTGTGGTTCCGATCCTCATAAAGCTAAGAAGCTAGAGGTGGGTCCTTTAGTTTTTTAAATTTTTATCGGAACCGTTTTTCGTAAACTGTAACTAGTTGATTGTTTACCAGTATTCAAATTAGCGAGTACACAAACATATTGGCTATTATCGTTTATGTGTATAAGTATTAAAGTGAAAGAAACTAACGAAGAATATATTTATTATAACTTTAAAAATAAATTAAACAATACAAATAGTACTTACATTTACATGGACTTAAGTCATCTTTATCAGTTTCTTTTTCTTGTACTAGTCAATTTTCAATAGTATAATCTTCTTTTTCTTTTTTTTTATAGAAGTAACCAGTTTCAACCATCAACTAGTTGATTTTAACGAATTTAACCGAAAATTTAGAGTTTAACACGGTTTAATTAGACTGCTGCCATTTTTCTGGAAACCATAATTCAGAAAACATCGCTTTTAAAATTAGTGAAATTATTATTCAGTGGGGTCTAAAACAAAAAGTAAATTTTGCAGTAACTGATAATGCCTCAAATATGGTCATAGCTATTAAATATGTTTTGGAATTAAAACATTTAAATTGTTTTGTTCATACGTTAAATTTATTGATGGAGGACGCACTTAAATGCTGTCGTGTACAAATAGATAAAATAAAAAGTCTTTTTTTTCGACAATTCGGCAAAAAACACATTTCAAAAAAGTACCTTATCTTCAGAAACGCTTTTAAAGTATCAATTACAACATAACAAAGATCCCAAACGGCCAATCCAAGACGTGGACACTAGGTAGAACTTCACCTATTACATGTTAGAAAGAATGACGGAGTTAGAAGAGGCAATCCGTTCCACATTGGTATCAGTTAATACAGACTTAGACCAAATCTAAATAATGAAGACTGGATTATTTTTTCGTAATTGTCCTAAATTTTACGGCCTTTTAAAGAAATAACAAGTACAATGAGTGGCCAAAAATACTTGAATGATAGTTCAGTGATTGTTCTGGTACGCTGCCTGCAAAAATCTTGCAATAAAATTTTAGCAAACAGTAACCTTACATCCATAGTTAGTATCCGACGTAGTACGGGTTTTTATTACTAATTACGGGATAATTACTAATCTCGGGTTTAGCAAAAAGATTTAGAGGGATAGAATACAGTGGCATATTGTCATTATGTACGTTTATGGATTCACGATTTAAAGTGCAGGGATTTTCTGATAAAAATGACGCTAAAAAAACAAAAGAAAGAGTTAAGAAGCTGGTTATTTCTATAATTAAAGAACAAGAAGATTGTACTATTGAAAATCAACCAGTATAAGAAAAAGAAACCGATAAAGATGACTTAAGTCCATGGTGTATTTTTGATCAATTAATTGGACGTGACTCATCTAAACGTACACCTGTAGCGAGAGTCCATTACAATGGTGGAAAAACCATCGCCATGTATCTCCTAACTTAACCACTATATTCATAAAGTATTGTAAATGTGAACACATGTTCAAAATCAGGTTTAATTTTAAATAAAAGAAAAACACAATTAATAAGAAGTAAAGTAAAAAAACTTATGTTTTTAAATGTCAATTTAGACGATTCGTGATTTAATAATAACGTGTAATGTAAACGTAGGTACGATTTACTATTTGTATTGTTTAGTTTAGTTTTCAAGTTATAATAAAATATTTTATTAGTTTCCTTCACTTCAATAAATATACAGATAAACGATAATAGCCATTATGTTTGTTTATGTAGGTAGTTTCTTACTTGAAACTACTATTAAAAAATCATAGTTACTTGTTTACGAAATTCGGTTTTGCGACGTCAATGACCCACCTCTATTCGTAAATACCTGTGTACGTTTTGATTCGGTGAGTTGACCACGCGACACGCCACGTTGGCAAATAGTTTTGTACGAAGCTTTTTTATTTATATGCAGTTTAATATTTTTATTGGAAATAAGGCATAATGTCACTTTAAAATAAGCTTATTTTGATGTTTAGATTTTTAATTCGGAAATAGTTTTTAAAATACCAAACATTAATAAATTTTATTTATATAAAACGATTTCCGAAGTATAAATCAAAATGTTATATTACACTTATTGTAAAGTAAAATTGTGGCATATTCCCAATAAAAAACAGTAAGCTGCCATTTAAATCCATTTCGCCCAAATTTCATTATCTTGGAGCATTGTTCAAATACGAAAAAAACAACAGGTCAAATAAAACCAATAAGTTTGGCAACGTTGAATTTCCCCTTTTTATTATATCCACTCCATATCCACTCATTTATGTTCGGTGATATAAAAGGCGGACACCTAATATATCTCTCTCTTTTTAAACAGTTGTTTCTCACTCCATCTCATGTAAGGTCCATACCGACCATAAACTTTTACCTATACTGTATGTAGTTCAAATGTTTTAGGCTGTAACTAAAAGTTATCAACTTAGTTCAGCCGATTATAGATGACGCCATAATGTACAAAATTTAATATTAATTATTTTGACGATAAATTGTTGTGTATCAGTCACAATAAGTCAGTGTCAGCTACTGTTGTTACACAGTTACATTTGATACAAAATGAATTCTAGAGGTTTAAGTGAAGCTGAGCTGCAACAAATAATAGACGAATTGAGTGAAGTTATCCACCCCCTACCCATCCTAAGGATGGGTAGGGGGTGAAAGTGCTTTTGGAAAACGAAACTACACTTCAAAATTTAGTCCGAGTTTCAACAGAGAGCATGGAGTCCCATAAGTTTAAATCCGGTGAATTATTTAACGGTTGCGCTAAACTCGTAGTGTTAAATGTGTTGTGTTTTTTACAAAATACGGAACAACTTAATGTAAGTGCTGCTGTAAGACGTACTTCGTTGATGACTGGTGTTAGCGAAAGAAGCATTTACAATTTCAAAAAAGAAAAAGAACAGAGTGGAACGTTGAAATCGCCAAAAAAACGTAAAAACCGAGTGTGTCAATCAAATTCTAGAATATTCACATATTTCAAAAAAGAAAAAGAACAGAGTGGAACGTAGAAATCGCCAAAAAAAACGTAAAAACCGAGAGTGTCAATCAAATTCTAGAATATTCACATATGACGGGGGTGTAAAAAGTATTCTACGGAGAATTGTTCATTGTGAATTTTTCATGAAAAATTTGCCGCCATTCTTAAAGCATATACATAACTTCATACAAGGTAATGAGAATATACAGCCGTTGTCTCTTTCTACTTTATACAGACTTCTGAAAGGTATTGGATTTGTTTATCGGAAACGTGGCCAAAGAAGCATCATGGTGGAGCGAGAGGATATTATTCATTGGCGTCATAATTATTTGAGAACTGTACGACGTTTGCGAAAAGACCATTGCAATATCATATATTTGGACGAATCGTGGGCTAATAATTACGAATGGTGCGATACTACGATACAAAACAGTCGTGATGCTTTTCTCAAAGGTTTAAGTACTGGCTTAAAAGCACCTACTAAACGAGGTCCACGATATGTTTTATTGCATGCAGGTTTTTCAGGAGGTACACAGCGTGTTTTTCTGGCAAAGAAAAATGATGGCGACTATCACGATGAAATGGATGCCGCATATTTTGAGTCGTGGTTTAAGGAGACATTAATATCAAATTTACCAAATAATGGTCGCAGGAATGTCATTGTAATGGACAATGCATCGTACCACTCCCGTAAAGAGAGGTTCCCTAACAATTCCTGGAATAAAGCTGCAATCAAGGAATATCTAGTGGAAAAAGACATTTTTTTCGAGGAGTGTTATTTGAAATCCGAGCTATTAGAAGCAGCGCGTGCTTTTAAAGATCAATACGATAAGTATCATCTTGATGAGTATGCTTCACAACATAATGTTTATATTTTAAGGCTTCCTCCATATCACTGCGAATTGAATCCTATAGAAATGGTGTGGAATCAAGTTAAGCGATATGTAGGTACCCATAATACCACTTTTAAAAACGACGAGGTACGCCAGTTGATCGACGACGGTTTCGCAAGCGTCACAAAGCAAAATTGGCGCAATTATGTCACTCATGTTGTTGAGAAAACGGAAACTGACATGTGGACTGCGGACAACCTGCAAGATGACGTAGACCAATTGATAATACACGCGAACACAGGGGAGAGTAGCGAAAACGAATCCGATATCTCGGATGTAGAGGACGACGTTAGTATAATTAATTGAATATCTGTGAGTAACCTCGATTATTTTACACTGTATAACCAATAAAATGCATTTACTAGTCCAATCAGAGTATGGGCGTTTCGGATATTGGGCTGGTTGCACGGAAATCGAGTTCCCGGAGGTTCCACCCTGTATATTTATAGCTATCAAGAAATGTAACTTAAAATATATTTGTTAGTTTAATAAAGTATAAATATAATATCATGTTAAATAACTTACACTATAAACCTTATACCTGCTCATCTGGTCAAGTGTGGGCAAGGAAAACCATTATCCCATATGGAATAACACAAGGTTTTGCTGAAAACTACCAGGTTGCTATGACAAGGAACTAGGTAAACTTATGTTGTGTATAAAAAATGCGAGACTGCATTATGTTTTAACAAGGACAAAAAGTGCACTTCAGATTTCCACAAAAAAAAATTTCATAGTAGGTATTAAAATTTCGCAGTGATTCAAGTGCGCAACTTGTTTTTTTAATAACATCGCCGGGATTAAAAAATGTGCAAAGCTTTTTCGATATTCCCGTTCCTGATAATTTTTCACATATTTACAAAAGAAAAAGTTTTTCTTGGATATTGGGCTGGGTGCACGGAAATCGAGTTACCGGAGGTTCCACCCGGTATATTTATAGCTATCAAGAAATATAATTTAAAATACATTTGTTAGTTTAATAAAGTATACAGTTTTATAATAAAATTCTCGCTAAAAACTTAAGGTCTTTTTATTCAAATTCATGCCTCTGATTTGGCTACTTGAAGGCAATTATTTTATCAATATATTATTTTATAATAAATAACAGAGCCCGGCGTAGAGATCTGGGTACGGTTCTGTGACTACCACTTGGACCTGTTTGTATCGCCAAGTAGTGATGTAACAAATGTCATTTTTTAAACATTCGCGAATGCGAATATATGCCACCGACATTCGCGAATGCGAATATTCAGTTTTTTTTAATTTGGCAATTTTAATTATATCCGGCACTGCCGGCAGTCTCATTTGCGCGAGGTGTGTAGGCAATTGGAAAAAGTCTGTCATTTTTAACTGCTTTAAACTGTCCAGTATCATTCTATCATATTTGCTAAAGTAAAGATGTGAAACAGTTGTATTTATTGTAAAGAAGTTTATTGTAGGCGGTTAAGTTTATTGAGGGGTCGTTTAAAAAGGTATTTATTTATAGTCATGTCCGGGTCAAAAACGTAGAAAGCACGTTTTTCGATCTTATTTTCTCTTGTTATATTCAAATTTGACTTGTTATAGAGAGAAAGTTATAGCAGAAAACTAAGTTCTCTGGTTATAGTTCCAATAAAAATTTCACGGGACACAAGTCACTCCACTTGCCCTACTCTGCTCGTGCACAAATACAAGTGAATTTTTAGTTAAAGTGTGATTAGCGATTTATTACTATGAGTAAATCAAATTATAGTGAAATATGGACTTATTTTTCACTTTTCGATACTGAACGAGCTAAATGCAGGCTGTGTAATATTCGCAAAACATTCGCACAAATTTTGCGAATGCAAATGCGAATATGCAAAAATATGCGAATATTCGCGAATGCGAATATTCGTTACATTACTATCGCCAAGCACAAGGCGTGAAATCCGGCAATTGTGCATTCCTATATTAGCCGTACTGCACTCTCGGTGTGACATTTTCTATAGTAGGACCACCATTAGTAAAACCTGAAAGTATATTTTAGTTTTCACTTCCCTAATGTAAGTAGGTTGGTATAGGTTTGTTAGTTTGCCAGGAACAAAGAGTTCCAGATTACAGCCTACAAATTTCAGAAACAGTTATCATTGAACAATCGATCTCCCTTAAATTTTTGAATGGGGTTAAAATAATCACTTTAATATTTATATAATTTCTTCTTGCAGATGTTCTTCGAAGACACCATAGACGACTCCAAATTCTCGGGCCATCTCTACGGTCTCGGCACCTCTTTCGCAGTAAACGGAACTGCCAACAACTACTCGAACGACAACGGAGATACCACAAACTCTTCATGAAACTTACTGGTCGTCTGTCTCATAAAATTACTAAAGCTAAAGTGGAAAACACTAATGTGACCCGTTTCTTCAACAAAATATATGAATTCGTATTGGACTATGTTGTCGTGATAGATTTTAGGTTTTTTTATTTTTAAAATTAAGTTTTTAAACCCATACTTTTTGAAAAAAAACTAAAATTAGTTATTTAATAAAACAATAAATCTTTTATAGTGTTTTTATCAGATTTTTGGGGGTTGTAAGGAGGTAGTAGAATAGAATAGAATAGAATATGAAATAGAAGTGAAATAGAATATGCAGTTAGAACCACAAAGATGCATAAAGCAACAGGTCCAGATGAAATTAATATAGAAGCAATAAAACTACTAGACGAGGAGAATATCGAAATCTTGGTAAGGCTGTTCAATAGAATTTATGATACTGGTTACATTCCGCGAGAATGGCTGCAGTCATCCTTTGTGATGATCCCAAAACAGCTAATGCCACAAAATGCAATGAACACCGCTTAATCAGTTTAATGAGTCACTTGTTGAAACTCTTCCTTAGGATATTATACTCAAGAATGTACAAGATACTAAAAGAACTTAGCGGGTCAACACAATTCGGTTTTAAGGGAGGACTAGGAACAAGAGAGGCAATTTTATGTTTGAACACCTTAATACAAAACTGCTTAGATCAACGAAAAGATGTCTACCTCACCTTCATCGACTACGAGAAGGCATTTGACAATGTTTAACATGATATCATGATGGAACTACTACATAGGGCTAACATTGTCCAGAAGGAGATCAGAATTATTCAGAATCTATACTGGAACCAAAGGCAAAGGTGAGGATTGATCAAGACCAATATACGGATGAATTTGAAATCCGGAAAGGTGTCCGCCAAGGCTGCATACTCTCTCCGATGCTTTTTAATTTATATGTTGAAAATATATTTGCGGAAGCATTAGAAGATACGGAATTAGGCATTAAGGTGAACGGCATACCAATTAGCAACCTACGCTATGCGGACGACACAGTGATTATAACTGATAATTTGGAAGATCAGCAGTTATTACTTGATAGGGTGAATAGCATAAGTAAAAAATATGGCCTCAAAATCAACATTTTGAAAACGAAATATATGGTCATTAGCAGAAACCCTCCAGAAAATCCGATAATATGCATAGGTGACAATCGTATAAATCGCGTGAAAACTTTTAAATACCTTGGCACCACAATCAATGACCAATCGGATCCACAACACGAGATAAAAACCCGAATACAAATGGCAAGACAAGTTTTTTTGGAATTCAGACCGCTCCTATGTAATCAACACCTAAACTTCGAAATACGCTACAGAATGGTCAAGTGCTACATATGGTCCATCTTGCTTTATGGTATGGAAACGTGGACTTTGAAAAAAACATCTATCAACAAACTTGAAGCATTTGAAATGTGGTCATTGAGAAGAATGATGCGCATACCTTGGGTGGATAGAGTTCGAAACGATGACGTCCTTAATAGAGCCGGCGTGGAAAGAGAACTCTTTGAATTAATTAAAAAACGCAAGATTGGTTACCTTGGGCACATATTGAGAGGAGCAAAATATGAAATACCACAGTTAATCCTACAAGGGAAGATCGAAGGTAGGAGAGGAGCCGACCGCAAACAATTATCCTGGTTAAGGAATATTAAAGAATGGACAGGAATACACAATACAGGTGAGCTGTGTCACGCCGCCAAGAACAGAATTCTAGTAATGAGATAGTCGCCTACGCACTTTGGTGTATGGCATGTTCAGAAGAAGAAGAAGGAGGTAGTAATCAATCATGTGGTAGCTAGATATACAAGATGTTTCAACATGGATTTCATCTTAAATTACATGCCAAAAAAGTGGCCACATCTGTTTTATCTTAACGTCCTTCTGAGGAGCCAAATGAGTATTGACCTGTTAGCTTAACTAGCTGAAACAATACTAAACACATAAATAATAAGTGAATACTTATCAATACTATCACTTCACGAAGAACAATTTCCGTATCAAATAGGCCATAGATGCTTTGCAGTAAAGTCGGTTCGCTATATTTACGCGGGTTTGGGATTAAAAATTTTATTGTAAGTACCCAGTTTTAATTACCTGCTCTTTGGGGAAATATCAACTGGTCAAATGAAATGAAAAATAATCCATAACTTTTTTTAATTAAATAATAATGGAAAATCTTTTATAATTGACAGTATAATAAGGAGAATTACTTCATTAATGGAGTCTAATGTGGCTAATATAAACCTAATAATAATTTTATATTACACTTCACACAGAAAATATGGTCTATGTATATTTGTTCCATGGAGAGAATTTCTAATGAAAAATAAAAAAATTTAACTTGCCAACAAAAATGAAAATCAGTCATTATCATCAAAAATATCATAATCGTCATCATCATCACTGTCATCACCATTAATTGTTATTATGATTGGACTTATTTCGTTTATTTTATTTTCACGAGCCCACCAATCTTCTATTAGTTTCTCGCACTTGAATATACAATTGCACCACACTTCTGGAGTTACAATTGAAAGTGCCTTTCGCCAAGTTTCCCGAACTGCGTCGTCGCTATAACCGTTAGGCCCAATATGGTTGTCATAATATTGTTTTGCTATTCCCCATATATATTCGATGGGATTAAACTGGCAATGATACGGTGGCAGACGTAAAACTTGATGACCGTAACTTTCAATAATCTGATCCACAACAAAGGTTTTTGGTTTTGCGTGGATATTTGCCAAGCGTAATAATTCTGATTTTAAAATGTGTTGTGTAAATGGTATATGTTCCTTTGTCAACCATTCTTTAATTTTATTAACAGTCCAAGAATTCGTTGGACTTTTGTTTAATACTTCAGAATGGTAAGGTGCATTGTCTAAAATAATTACGCTGGGCTCACTTAAACCTGTGAGAAGTTTTTCATGTAACCATTTTACAAACATTTCTGTGTTCATATTATCGTGATAGTCACTTGATTTTAATTTAGATGAAAATATTAAATCAGCACCTTCTATAAAACCCGATTTCCCTCCTGCATGTAAAATTATGTGTCGCTTCCCTTCTCCATCAGTATGTTTGATAGACTTTACGTTATCATCTTGCCATATTCTCTTGGCTGCACTCCTAGAAAATATCCATGTTTCGTCTAAATATATAAAATTTGCACTTTCTTCTTTTAATTTAGAATATTTTCTTAGAAAGTTAATTCTTTTATGCACAACAGAACTTCTTTCACAAAGGGCTTTTCTGTTATCCTCCTTTTGAAATTTGAAACCCAAACTATGTATCACTTGCCACAGACTTGTTTTGTCAATTTCGTCAAATTTTCTATGTTTCAATTCTGAGAAAATTGTATTTAAGGTCACATGTTCCTTGTTGGCTCGCATTCGATAAATGGTATGACGAATTTCAAATTTGTTTCCATCTGGAATATCTTTCGTTTTCAATGATAGGCGATTTTTTCGGTGATCTTCTTTCGGCCGTTCATTATTGCGATTTTGTAATACTCCTCTTAGTTTGGTTTCACTAATTCCTAGATCATCACATACGCGTTGTTGAACAGACATTACCGATTTTAAAGGACCGCCATTTTCTTTTTCATCCGTAAAATACTTATGTACACTACAAATTAGACTATCTACATCTAACACACGTCTAGGCATTTTTAAGTATTTCCACCAAACATACAATGTCAACACTGGCAAAGAATCAATTCAACTGCAATATTGTAACAAATTTATACCTACCCTAATGTTATTTTAATGTATTTTAAAATATGACCATTAATGCAGTTTTTACCTAATTTTCTGGGAAGTCGTTTACTGCAACTGGTTATCAATGAGTCATTAGCATAATTTAATTTTGTTTATCCGAAACCCGCGTAAATATAGCGAACCGACTATATTAAAGATCTTTAAAAGACCATTTCATCAAAAGAAGAAGCATTTAGGACTATTGTAATAACAATCCAATGGATTTTACTCTTAAGTGTTTAATTATGTAGTATATGTACATATTAATGTAAAAACGATGAAAATAAAACTAGAATCAGTTTAACATTGACTTGAATCGGACATTGTAGATAGAATGGTTCAGGATGAGCGAAAAAACTTTCGATTTTCATCTCTCTTGCCAATGTATCTCGTTTTGTTGTTGCTAAGTCTAGCTGTAAAGATATTGACAACTCCGCAGCACTTTTTACTGCAATCTTTACTCTTTCTTTGTGTGAATCTTTATGGCCTCAACAGTCTCTGGTTCTTGGATGTCTTCACCACCTTTACTATTAACAAAATTAACCATTTCTTCATCGGTTATTTCATACTGATCATCCCTTGAAAACCAATGTCCTTTATCACCCAAAGACGCATCCTCACATGCATTGATAAGTTTCACTAAGAGCAAAATATTTTCCTGAAGTTTGTCCGGAGTGTTGTCCGCGGTTTCTTCATCCTCGCCTAACAGTTTATCGCAAGACTTAGCAATTGTTTGTATCCCAACCTTATCCCATGCACTTAAGATCCAGTAGGAAACATCTTTCAAATTATGGCTTTCAATGTAGAGATTAAGTCTCGGCCATCTTTCATGTCTATCATGATTGAGATAGAATGATTCTCCTGTAGTTTTTTTTCAGCGTCTCGAAAACACCCTGGTCCATAGGTTGGCAGATAGCTGCGATATTCATAGGGAGGAACATGGCCTTTATTTCCTCATCTTTAAGTTCACTTTTATCAGGATGCGTCAGCGCATTATCTCACAGTAAAACTGCTTTTCTTGGTAGATTATTGTCTCTAAAAAACTTCTCTGCTGATTGTATGAAATCCATGAAAAACCATCTTTAAAAATGTCACCGCTCATCGATGCATTTTCTTCACTGACAGTGAAATGCTTTGGGGTTCTTTACCTTTCCAATCATTATCAATTCCATCTTATGGTTTGATGTGGCATTGCTACAGCTCAAAATGATTACTTGCTCTTTGCTGCGTTTATAGCCAGAAGCTGGTGATTTACTTTTACCTGCAAGACTCCTATTCGGTAACATTTTGTAATTAAGGCTGTTTCATTGCAATTAAATATTTGATCACCTTAAATTTTCAACCTCAATACATGCTTGAAACCTTTCTTTAAATGTAGCCATTCCTTCAAAGTTTGATGACAATATCTCACTGCAAATAGACAGCT